AAAAAAAACTTTACATATTACCTAATCGCTTATATGTGCAGTATTTGCCTGAATGCACTTAATAGTCAGTGTGAACCCAACACTAATTTATATTGTGCACACATGTATAAGATAGTTACTGTTCTTCAACTTTCTGATTAAAGAGATCTGGTGAACAAATGGTCACATGCAGTGTTTTTATACATAAGTAGTTCTAATCTAACATACCTACTGTTTAATATTTTCTGCCAATGTGGATCAATGTATAAAAGACCTCCAATTTCCTAAGGCAACAGATTTTGTTTGATCATGAAATCATTCTTTCAAATATATACATTCATAAGGCAATTTATTTTTTATGAAGATCTGATTGAATCCCATTATGTCCTCTTTTTGATCAATCTACATCAGGGGTGTTAAATTCACAGCCCGAGAGTTAGATGCATCACGTGCTGGCCCCACCCCCACCCGGTTTAGCGAAGGGAAAAAAGTCCCGATATGCCACGTGACGCCACCATGACGTGAGTTTGACACCCCTGATCTACATGAACAAAGGATGATATATGATACCAATTTTTCCTATCTGTACTTTATGAAAATGTGATCTAGAAGAAATGAAAATCAATAAGCTAGACATTTATCCAAGGGAAAAACATCTCAGCAATCATTCAGTGCGGCAGAGAAATTAGTAAATGATTGGATTTTAATGCAAATCCTCATACTTAAAAAGGAACCTGAGCTATAAAATATATCAAAAGGTGGGAAACTGAAACCCTTAATTTCCATCACATACAAATATAGTCTGTGATGTCTGAAGTTGACAGGACTTGAAGTCTAACTACATCTGGAAAGTGAAAGGTACCATTTTCATGGTACAAAATAGCAAGGAGAGGCAATTTAAGAGGGAATGAATGAACCTTGATTTAGGCAGAACTTCTTTCTAGTGCTCCGTCGGTGAGGAAGAGCATTGATAAAAGAAGCTTATTTTTAAAAAAAGCAAAAGAAAGGTCTTTAAAAAAAGAGAAAATGTTCTCTGGTGAAAAGTAAATAGCATGCAAAATATTGAACACATGAATAAAAAATGTTTTCTAACCTGTGGAAACAATCTTGACAATTAACTAAATAAAAAGGCCAGCTTAGAAAAGAGAATGGGGATTAGTAGGTTCTGCTAGCAAAGCATTCTGTGAGATCAGAAACTGGAGGAAATCTTTAGAAGAATGTAATAAGGCCTTCTGTTCACAGACAGAGACTGCTGAATACAATCCATCAACAATAAATTATATATTATTTTCAACCCAGAAATTGTAAATTACTTAAACGGTAAAATGGCCTTGTAAAATTTCCTTATTAAGGTTGAATTATAGTTCACTGCAGGTATTCCACAAATACATAAACCGTTGCATATTTTCAGCTCTTCCTTCTGCTTTCCATGAATAAGCAGCTTTTGAATTTGTGTTTATCTGTGTTCCTGATATGGAATTTAAGAAGGAGTCCTTTAAAGGTGCTCAATGTTCAATGGAGCACAGACGGCATTTAAGAGTCCTAAATTATGAAGCAAAATGTTAAGGAAGTTGTCATTTTTTACACACAGATCTACATTTTTCTAAAAAGCGGTATCCTATTTCATATTCATTGTCTCTTTGAAGTTGTGGTGTTTATTTTCTTTAGATCCTGTGGAATGAGAAGTTGGCATTCTGCTGGGGTTTGTATTGGGAGCCGAAGAAAAGCCATCCTGACAACACGAACATTCAGGAAAAATCCATTCTTGGGGATTTAAGTCTTGTTTGTACTGACTGTTCTTAAAAGTAACCTTTTCTTCTGAAAATGTACTTTCTTTCCTTTGTTGCAAAGCATTTTCTTTATCTTCCAGTGTTCGAGCAAGCATATAACTAACCTTTCTTTGATGAGCCAACATCTCCTCCTTATCGTTCAGCTATAACAAAAAAAATAAAAAATAAATAAAAATATTGCTGTCAAACAGTCCGTCTATCTTCAGAGGCATATAATACTATTAATATAGACACTGAAACCATGTAAGAGATACCAACCAGGTCTGTTAGTGTCCTAATGATCTCCAGTGGATTATCCAGTTCTTCTACTTTCTTACTCTCAGGACCAGAAGCAAGCATGCCTATCAGCTTTTCTCCCAAGCTTTTTCTTTTTTCTTGAAACAAGAAAAAAAAAATGGGGGTAGATATGGTATCACAGGGAAAAAAATCTAGATATTGAAAACTATATATTTATATACTTCTGTGGCTGCCCATCTGACCAATGTGACTCTAGGTGACTAAATGCAGTTAAAATATAATAAGCATTGAATAAGGAAGAACTTATATTGACGAAATCACGATCTTCTTAACAATCATTTATATCCCGGTTCTTAATCTTTTTGTGCCATGAACCCCTTTAAAAGTCTGGTGGTATCTATGGACTCTTTGTTGACTACATTGCAATTAAAAACTAGTGAAAATAAAAGTGTCCTTTTTTTCCCTCATCTAAGTTTGCAGGCTTGAAATCTATCACCAAGTTAAGAATCCCTGACTTAGATGAAGCTTTTGTAAGTCATTTAAATTATGTACACCATCTTTCCATCTCTAGATGTTATATTCTTAAACATCCCCAATCCTATTATCAGTCCAATAGGAAATTATGAGTCACTTGTGTAGGGTGCCATTTAATTTTTTTAACATCCACAATCCAAAACAAAGACTTAAAAACTTCTACTAGGGCCTTATAAAGGACATCACTTGCCATATCTAATGGAGTGTTTAAGCAGGACTAAGCAAAGAATTGTAGCAACTATCCAAGGCAAAAAAGGCTACTATACCTACACTAATGCTAGAGAACAACAGCTGAAATAATTCTGAGACACACCCTGATAATTAATCTACAGTTTGGCCATGCTATGTGAATTAATTTGTTACCTTTTGTGGTAAGTTATACCTATGCTATTCTATTTGAGATACTTCTCCATCAAATCAGTCCTTAGTATATCCCTAAATAATCAGATGACATGTATATGTGAATCAAAAACACATCTACCTCTGTGGTCAGAGTAGAAACAGGAATCCATTCCTTATACAGCCATTTAATAATTAAAATCTTTATATATCTGTAGAGAACCCATTCAATGGATTCCGACAGACTTTCTAAATATGCATTAACAGAACAGGTAAGTGTGATTCAGCCCAACTTCTGAGTCAGTTGACTTTTTAAAATTATTTCACAACATGGGTTTTCTATCCAGCATCTACTCTCAATGGCCTCCCAGGCAAGGAAATTTTTAAACAAAGAGTCCTAGATATTAGTGTTCAAACTGAGATGGAATCATTGGCTAAAAATAGATCCCTAGGTTGGTTGGCTAAGAATACATGAAAACTATTTTTCAACCTGAAAAATACCTATGACACTCTCAAATTTTAAGAAGTGCCTATTCTAGAGCAAGATTTGAGTTGTTGGACTCCATGCTCTAATACGGGCATTTTTACCACTTTCTATGTTATGAGAAAACCTGAATATGCGGTAACCTAGCCACATAAAATATTTTCTCATATTTTGTTTGACTGTTAATTATATGCCCCATTAGGCTTAAATGTTTATCACCCTTATCAGAAAGAACAGCCAACTGGTATCAAAAACAGATTGTTGTATTTCCTCCTGGGCTCAAATGTACATACATACAAGTGGATATAAAAAGGCTACACACCCTGTTAAAATGCCAAGTTTTGAGATAAAAAAATCAGATTTTTCAGAATTCTTCAGAATGTTTTCCATCTTTAATATAATCTACAGGCTGTACAATTCAATTGAAAAACAAACTGAAATCTAATTTTAGAGAGAAAAATAACAAATAAACATGGCATTTTAACAAGTGGGTAGACTTTTTATATCCACTGTATTGTGCGCAGAACTGCTAAGTTTATAGATAAGACAATGGTCCTAAGAACCCAATGCATTGAACAAATTGGGGACATTCATTTATCTGATTACTGACTCCTATTAACATGTTTATCACTCTATTTCCTCCTATCTTATTCCAGAATTAGATTATATGCTGTATTTTATTTATTCTATTGATAAGGTCACAAGACTAATCAATAAACTATTACATATGTCAGTCAACTCTATCTCTCTTGGTAGGACTATGTCTCCTTATTGCTATGTTCAGTAAGGTGAACACTAATACATATAGATAGCCTTGGTAGTCTTTGTCCTAAAGAAAATTGAAATAAAAAAGGTGATAGTTATATGGATCATTTGGATAATGAATGATTTCAATAAAACTTTAAATGCTAAGCAATATGGCCAATAGGGATTATTTTCAGTATCACTGAAATATAGACATATATACATAATGGAAAGAATTACCATCTTCTTTGCTGCTTTTCCACTTTACTGTTTTAGTTTCTTTTCTGCAGATCTTACTCATTTGGGCAAGCCTGAAAGCCTGATCCTTTCTCCGCATCAGCTGCTGTTCAAAAGCTATTCTGAAGGCATCTGCCATTATATAAGCTTCTTCTTTACTCTTCTTCATAAGTTCAAACTGTTATTTTTTTTTTCAATTAAGATAAATTTTAGAATATAAATATAAATGAAATCATACGAATGAACTCCACATATCTATGATTACTGAAAATAGTAAGATTATTGCTTCCTCAATTTAAGCAGAAATCCACATAGCATTTGAGTATAATCTGTCCCCCAAATGACACTTAACAAAAGCTGTTGATAGTACAGAGGACACAAGGTCATTTTAACAAATCATTTTTATATTGTAATTTGAATAGTATAGTTTAAACAAATATGAATATTAGTTACTAATCCTCCAATAAGAGCCATTTCCTAGGCAATGTATTTAGAAAAAAAACTTTTGACAAAAACAGAAAAATTTGCTTGGCTACTCAACACTTAGCTACCTATTATATCTAACTAATGTCTAACTCTAGATTCTATGCACTCCAATCTTCAGTTCTATTCTCTGTTGATTCCTAATTAATTTTCTTAGTAAAGCTGGAGTTGATGAATATGTATGTTTCGTTACATTACCAGACCATGTAAAGCTAAAACATTTAACATGGTGGAATTAAGAGGTAGAAAAGCAAAGATCATTATTAGGGGAACAAGGATTTTGCTATATCTGTGTTACATCTCTGTAATGTCTTTATACTTCCAAGAGACAGTATCACTCAGCCCACCTTCTGAAAAGGATTAAAGTTAAGCAAGTTCATTGCTGAGATGGTAGATACATTTCCTACAAAACTAGTTGAACTGGCTTCTTTTGGCAAAGAGACTGAGTGGATGAAAGTGTTTTAGCATAATTTGTGGCTGTATTAACTGATTCTAATTCTGTTGGGTGACTGGAAAAACAGAAGTTTGAACAGGAAGTATCCTTTAGTTTGAAAGAGGACTAAAAGTGGATGCACAAAAGGAGGATAGGTGTTGGTAAGATGAATGGAAATCTGTTAATTGCCCTCCATCAGTCTCAACTTTGTATAAAACATAGCATTTGAAAAATGTTTTTAAATACATAAACCTGCCATCATTTATATAACTATTCCACTTAAGCTTGAAGTATGTCAATAAGTTTAAAAACAAATGAAAACATATTGACATATTAGCAGCCTAACTATTACATTTTTACAACAGGAACATTTAACATTTTTCCCCCACATGACATGTTCGGAAAAGAATGCTTCTAACCCAAGCTCTCATACCTCTTGCTTGAGTTGAAGAAGTTGCTTTCGAGTTGCTGCTGACATCTTGGCACAGGCACAGGGTACTCCTTCAGGACCATTGCAAGCACAGGCTCCAAGAACTGCCAACTTCCAATTCAAATGAATGCCAGCCGTTATTTTAAAATCCAGATCAAATTGACAAATACACACACCAGCTGGTTCACATATTTGGAGCTTAATAGGATACACAAATTCTCTATCATGACTTTGCATGAATTAGTGTGCTTGCTCAAAAATACCCTAGTTCTGCATTCCTGGCTTCTTCCTCAGCTTTCTAAAATAGGACATTAAGTTTTATTTAAATGGACTGACACCTTATGATCAGATCAGACTGCATTCAGAAGAGCTCTTTCATGCTTGGCAAGTTTTTCTGTTACAGAAGAGACCTTCAAATTGGTTACTCCAGATCATACCAAGCAGCATCTTATTGAAATATGGTGTAACATTATTCAGTTAACTTAACTGCACCTCTGTATGGTTTGCCAATTGCACAGTAGCAGATAGGAAAGCACTCCAGAGGGTTCACGGCAGTGCCCAGAGGATCATTGGCTGCCCTCTCCCTTCTTTGGAAGAGCTTTATAGCTCCCACTGCCTTAAGAAAGTTCAAAACATTCTCAAAGATCCATCTCATCCTGGGCACCCTGAACTATTGCCATCTTGCAGATGGTACAGAATAATAAAAACAAGCACAAATAGGCTGAAAAACAGCTTCTACCTCAGGGCAGTAATACTTTTGAATTCTGCTGTATAGTGCAATATTGGTGCAGTGTCAGGGGTTTTCAGTTCAATGGAGGGTGAAGGATGTGTGTGTGTGTGTATTTTCATGATCATGATATGCACTGTTTGATTTCGTTGTACGAGGTGCAATGACAATAAAGTAAACTAAACAGTTCCATTTTTTCCTCACCAATTCTTACAATTTAAAAGAGGAATTCAGTGATTTCTGGTTTCTGTTTTTGATTAACAATAGCTGAACAATTATCTGGATGACAATTCTTGATACATATGCTACAATATTATCTCAGTTAATCAAAGCTTTAACTTTCTTCTACCAGCCACATGGGAGAAGATAAAAAGATCCCAATGCTCTTAGTGTACAAGTCCGCTTCTTCATAATGGATGAAAAGAGAATCACAGTTGTTAGCTTCTCCATTCATTATGCACCGAAGTCTAATGTCAAAATAAATATGGGTATTTCTTGCTTTTAAAATGAACCATTAGAATGAGCCATAAGATCTTACCAAAAGAAATAAGATTATTTAAAAATACATACTTCTAGACTTGTAACCTCAGTAACACCACTCTTGCTAAGACAAATATTATCCTGAACAAGCTTCTGCTGTTTTACATCAAGCATTGCCACCATCTCCAAATGCTGTTGCTCTAAAACTGAAAAAAGTTTGAAAAAAATTATTTGTAGCTTACATGACTAAATAAATCCAAAAATTAGAACTTTAATTTCTCTAGAGACTGAATTTTCTGCCTTGAAAATATAAACCTGGATGAAAATACATAAGGAGGGAAATATTTATTGTTTTATGACCGCACATCATAGAAAGAATATAGAGATTGCTCTATTAAGTCTTTTTCCATAAAAGGCAGTATTATGAATGCACACTATGAAAGTCAGCACTGCATAAAAGTATAACCTAAGATTAATGATTGGAGATGTTCAAGGTCCTCCTCTAAGTCAGTTTGGTCTAGTGGTTAAGGTGCCAGGCTAGAAACCAGAAGCCTGTGAGTTTTGAGCATAAAAACTGAGACAGTAACTTTGGGCCAGTCACTTTCTCTCAGCCCAACTCAATCCACAGGGTGCATGTTGTGGAAAAAATAGGAACAGGAAAGAGTATTAATATATTCACTGCCTTTGATATAAATAAGTAAAACATACAAAGCACCAGACATAATCTTTACATTCTAAGAATGCAGCTGGACTCTGTCATAGATATTCTTAGACAATAAAAGGATATAGAACTGCAACTCAAAATATGCCTAGAAAAAAAATATGATAATCCGAGTCAATAGAAAGCATTTTGTGAAACTAGATGGTGTGTCATGGGAACAAAACTATTTGCCTTTTGATAAATCAACTGTGTATGTGTGTGGTGTGTGTGTGGTGTGGTGTGGTGTGTGTGTGTAGAGGGTGGGGTTTACTGGTCTTGTCACCATGACACTTCTTTTGTGAAAGTGTCCTAAACGTGAAACCAGATTTTCAAATTTGCTTACTGCCTCAAAAAAAGCTGTGATGCCCTGGATAGTAATTCTACTATCCAGTGGTGGGATTCAAATTTTTTTATAGTTCTATGGGCATGGCAGGAGAAGGATACTGTAAAATCTCCAGTCAGAGCTGGTATTTGCCGGTTCTCTAAACTACTCAAAATTTGCACTACCGGTTCTCCAGAACTGGTCAGAACCTGCTGGATACCACCTCTGTCAGGGGTGGGATTCTACCAGTTCTGTCCGGTTCTATAGAACCCCTTGTTAACTTTCTAAGCAGTTTGGAGAACAGGCAGAAGCAATCTCCTTTTGTTTTTTTCCACCCTTATTACATTATTGGCAGAAAGTCTAGACTTCCTGTCTCCAGAACTTTTGAGGCTTGACTTTCTTAAAGGGGAAGGTTTTTTAAAAAATTTTTACACTGCTGTTGGAAGGAAATACTTCCCTGGACAATCAGCACTTTGAAGAAATAATTGAATAATGAAGCAAAGCTTTTAGTGATAGGGAACCAAGATGAGTGACATTCAGCAAAGCTTCTTGGCTAGCTGGAAAGATTGACATTCAAACATGAGTTTACATACTCTTTCTGAGTTTTGGTCTAAAACTGGTTTTTGGTGAAGCTTAATTCTGTGCTTGGTGATGTTTAATCCTGTGTTTTTTGATGGGATAATTTTCCCTATTCAGCTTCAACAAGCAACAGCTACTGTTTTGATTTAATTATTTGTATTGTGTTTGAATTTTTTCCTGCCTCATGGTTTCTTTTTCTATCTGGGGAGGGGGTCTTCCTTCACTTCTTTAGTGGTATCTGGCACCATCCTTTTGGGGTGTATTTCCAAGAGGCAGGATACAAGCTTGGTACTGATTTTTTTTACTGCCTTTCTGGGGGGCATGTGACCTTTCCTTAAATCTGGATGATTTCCTTAGGATATATTGTGAGGTGAGTGAGACCAGCTGGTATCTTTAAGTGGGGCTAAAGCATCTAAGGATTGCTTTTCCTGGGTGTGCTTTTTCTGGAGAGCTTAAATAACCTCTCTGCTAAAGGGTTTCACTTTAACAGCTTGATAGTTATCACTGCATTTAAACTATTTTCATTCCTCAAGGTGCTCTGGCACCCTGCCTGATTTGTAACTCTGGCTTGCAGGTATTTTTAATCTAATGATTGGTATTTAGGGCAGCTTTTTGCAAGCAAAGAAGCTTTTTGTATTTTTGTACAGATAATCCTTGACTTACAACAGTTCATTTAGTGACCATTCAAAGTTACAATGGCACTGAAAAAGGTGACTTATGACCATTTTTCACACTTATGACCGTTGCAGCATCCCCACTATCATGAGAGGCCAGGTGAGGAGAAGCGCCCCTTGACATAAGTGATGTTGAGTTGGCCATGCCCACCCAGTCACTTGACCACCAAGCCATGCCCACCAACTTAGCCACGCCCACAGAACTGGTTGTTAAAAAAACTGAATCCCACCCCTGACCTCTGCTACTATCTAATTCTAATATAGAAAAAGCAGAGCTTACTTACGTTGATTTTCAGACTTCAGTAGTTTAATTTCCTCAGTTTTCATTTTAAGCGTTTCTTTAAAGGCAGCATTTTCACAATAAATTCTGTTGACATGGGAAATAACACATTTCAGTCACACCTTTAATATGCTTTCTGCCTGGTTGATTAAAAGACTATACTTTCATTTACCTGTCATATTTCTCTGCCCAGGTCTCATCTATATTTTTTAATTTCTCCTGATTAATTTTGATCTCCCACTGCAGAATATTTATTTCCTATAAACATAAAAGAATTTTAAACATTATATTGTTAGTGATATTGGGTTTATTTATCTAAGATATGTATTATTTAGGATCATGATACTGTTTTTGTCCGGCAAGAAAAAATATTAATGCACAATGGAAGATAACAGATAATCAGAGTTGGAAGGGACCTTGTAGGTGTATGGAATGTTTTTACTATGGCCAATTGCCTGGCAGAACAAACTCAAAAAAAAAAATCTATGTTTTTCTAATTATGTGCTCACTTTCTCCCATTATGATTCCTAAGGCAATCTCAATTGCTGTTTAAAATACTTAAACTTTTTGACAATTACTTAATAACATTACATTATTCAATACAATAAGTTTAAACTTACTGAATCCAGACATTTCCTCTCATCTAAATCCGTAATCTTTGCATCTGCCAACTGGAAAATGCTGTGAATTTGCAGAGATCAATACAACCATGTTCTCTTCGGCTCACTAAAGTATAATTAAATTGGTGCCAAATTTGCTGCCAGTTCTTCAGTAACAAAAATCCCCCCATATCCAACACTCTATAAAAAAGAACTAAAATAAATAAATAACATTCCTCTCTCTTCCTGTGTAATTCATGTTGTATGCACAATGTTCAGAGCAGTTGCTATGAAAGCTTCCAACCACAAAATTGGTCTTCCTCTTTCATTTCAAAGCCTCTTGTAAGCTGTGATAGTAAAATGATAGTATGCTACATATTTTGCAACTCTTCATTTTCTGTGGCATATGTCTGTGAAGGCTAGAATGGGGAAGTGAAGAAATGCACTTAGGCAGGCACAACAAAAAACTGATGGGTGTCCAGATGTCAATGTTCCTGCCAATAGGAAAACAGATCACCCACAAGATGAGATGAATGCTGCAAAGAAAACAGTAGTTTTCCTCCAGTTTTAAACAAACTACAGCAGAGCCAGGAAAAAAATGTTTTTACTCTCAAAACTGAGCTTGTTTGATAAATGAACAGCTGGTTCCAAAGTAGTGTCAAACATATGTGGATGTTGCCTCAATAATCGTAGTTAATTATGACAAAAGGCAAAAATATTTAGTAAAACAATATTTTGTTTCTATTTAAAAACTAATGCATCCTCTGTATTATATTGTCATACAGCCAATTAACTACATGGACTAACAAACCAAATCCCTGATGTAAGAACTTAAATTGTGTCACCATGTACATTACTTGGAGAAAAAAAGAGCATCTTCAAGTTTAGAGAATTATCTATACTTTCTCACAGCCACAATAATGTGCTTTCTCCCTGTCTTTGACTTAGGAGAAAACCCTATTGAGGGTTAAAAAGGGCAGCTCCCACAACCTACTTTTATTCACTTCAGTAGCCAGGATGGTCAACATTGCTGACCTCACATTGTAATACAACAGCTATGCACTTTTAGGCACTTGCTGTATTCATAGTCATCCTTTTAGCTCTTACTCAGTTTCATCTATCACTAGGAAACCCAACTGCCAACTGCTGTCCTGAATATGTGGCAATGCAGCTTTGGTGTTCCAACTGTCATTTTTAATATGAGCCTGTAACAAAGAATTCTAGACTTCAGACATATTTAAACCTAGTAATCATTGCTTCTGGCTGATGTTAGACTGCACATCAATTGCTGGAAAATCTTATTTGGTTCAGAATCTTCTAATCTAGATGACAAACAATATTCACCTATTACCTGAGAATTCATGGCCCCTGCAACCATAGTCAGTTCAATACTTGTTATCTATGTGCCAATACATAGCTCAGTTTCTTCTGAGTTTGTTAGATTTCAGCTGGTCAACTTGCTAGGGATTCCTCCCAAAATTTTGTTTTTTTCATATAGTTGTATACACGTAATTTCCCTTTTTACATTTGACAGTTTTACAGAATCCTTTAATGATAATATTTATCACTTGGACCTCTTTGATCTGTACTCCTATCTCCAAAGCCCCCAAAAGAAATATTAGTCTGCTCAAATAAGATGTCCAGTCTTTCTCACTACTTCTTGTGGTTAGCCGGCAGCAGGTGTGGACGGCTGAGGAGAGAGTTGACTCAGATGAGGGGCCAGGACCATTAGGGAGTGGACTGCTGCCTTCAGAGATTGTGGGGCTGGCAGCAGTGGTGAGGAGGTTCCCGAGGAGCCTGTGCTAAGTGCATGTGAGTGCAGGATTGCTCACAGGAAAGAGCAGTTTCAACAGCACGGGTGACTTGGAAGTAAGGTTCCAAGGTGATGGCCCCTCCTTCAAGAAGATAAAAGCCAGCTGTGAAACTAACCTTTGCAGAAGGCAAAGACATTTTGAAACTCCAGCCTCGTGGATGTTCCAGTATCCTGAGTTTGTATTTGAAGATTCTTATTTTGCAAATTATTTCTTGTCTGTTATCTTTTGGCAAGTCTTGCACGGCTTGGCAAGAGTTGTGCTTATCACAGCTAATTATTTTGTAAAAGCATTACAAGTTTTCTGTTTCTTTTGGATTGTTTGATTTGTTGAAAAAGGGCGTGGGTCAGAACACTACTATAGCCAAAAAGGACATATAGAATCCAGCAATATTCAGAGGAGAGGACTGTGGTAAGCTAGATGTATTGATGAATCCTCTGCTTGTAATAGGTTAACCAAAGTATATAAAATACAAAGATCTGGGCTGTGATATGTAAAAACACAACATGAAAAGTACATCAGAGCATTCGGTGCAGGTCAATGGCTACAGAACAATACCAGCACACTAAATTAAATGGACATAAGCATGCTTAACCTGCACTGGTTTGTAATTTAATGCTACCGTCTTATGCAATACCACATTTCTACTCTTTTTCTTCTTTTTAGGAACAGTATTAGATACATTCTTACCTTTTCTAAGGCTCGCTTTTGTTGCTCTGATTTTATAAATACTGCTTTAGTATGAGTGGTAGCTTTGTCCAAAACAGCCTGACAAATATAGAAAACAAAAATTGGAAATATTCAAGTATCAGATTGTCTTAAATGTGCAATCAGTGCGTATAAGTTAAGACAATCAACAAAAAGCTGTTGCTCTACCATAAAACAATAATATATATTTAAAAAATCAAAACATGTTATTGCAAGTGCAATATTATAGACTACATAAACTTCTTGCTTTGAAAGAAAAAGAATTATCATAAAAAAATAACACAAACACATGGGGGGGAAAAAGCCAGAGATTGTAAAAGTGCAAATGTATAAGAAAAATAAAAACTAGAGAGAACACTGATTTGTTTTCTGGTAAATGTATGCTTTGTGTCTATCTATCACTCTCTGTGACAGTCATTTATGAGATTAGCAAAGATACGCTCCAAAAATTCCAGATGTTTTCACTATCTCCAAAAGGTTGCCTACATCAGGGTTTTTCAAATTGTATTCTGCCAAAATTCTAGTTTTTGCAAGAACTTGATTAAATTTGATAAAAGACCAAAAGAACAAAAACAACCCCAGGCTCTTGGGGTGTTCATAGCAATTTTTCTAAGGTACAATGGAAAAGAGTTTGTAAGCTGACATTGAGATCTCCTGTCCCCCCTCCTATGGGTGACATTTTTTTGTCCGAGGGAACGTTTTAAAACCTTAGGACTCAAATTAGACATAGATGAAACAATCCACTTCTTTATGAAAGGTATATGAGTATGAGTAGATAATATCTATAACAGTTACATTTATATAGTTTTGACATAATACACAATTATGTTACTGTTTCATATTCAAATAAAGAAAATAAATTCTAATGTACTGTATTACATATTAGTTGTAAATACTACTCTGATTGTTACAACGTTTGAACTTTTGTTTAATTTACCATGCTCTGCAGAATTTTTAAAGCTTGTTCTTTGCCTTCAAGATGTCTTTGAGATGCTTCTAATTCCACTCTTAAAATTTCTACTTCCTAGAAAGAAAGAAAAAAGTTTGGTTAATAAAAACACGGTATAAATTATGGAGTCTCTTACATTAGTGGAAATTACTTCTAATTGTGGGATTTAACTTTTATTAATCATATTAAATATTAACACTTTTATTATTAATTAAAAGTTGTATTACAGCAAACATTACTACTCTCAATAATATAAAAACCTACTTATAATCACAAATGCAACCATAAAAATCAAGAATCATAAAAGTCCAAAAAAAGAACACCAATAGCACAAATCTACAGTAACTAGTCAATATGTGCTATTAACTCAAAATGGTTTCCTATAGTCCTCCAAAGTGGTCAGTTCCTGGGTGCATCCATAAATCTAATCTGAAACCATATTCAAAAATGATTTTATCTATTACATTTTATTACACAAAAATATTCTTTATAGGCCACCAATATAAATTCAATAAATAAGTAAATAAATAATATTTGAAATACAGGAGGTCTTCCATGTCATTAAAGGCTGAAATGGAAAAAAAACTTGAATTCAGCTTGAAACTATAAACAACCTCAGAGATAAGCTGGGATACTTGCATGCTGTAACTCCTTTTATAATGCAGTTGGGGAGAGTTTCAATTATCAGAGGAAGTGGAAGGAAAATTAAAGGAATGTTTTTCTATAAGGAAGATACATCACCAGCTATTGCCAGCTTGAAACAAACTTTTTGTTTCAAGTCACTTATCACACAATGCTGTATTGCTACCTATATATTATAACAATACACACAATAGCTCTATTTAAATTAATATATTATAAAATCATGACTGTCTTTTCAACTTTATAGCAACCATTACTTTCATTTTCTACTTCTTACAGAACTCTATAGACCAGGGGTGTCCAACCTTGGCAACTTTAAGACTTGTGGACTTCAACTCCCAGAATTCCTCAGCC